CTTAATGAATGCTAGCACTTTCCATTTCTAGCTTTTGTTAGAAGACTAGATGGAGGATGGAGTTGCATCTGAGGGAGCAGTGGCCCAGTGGTGCTAAATGTGAGCTCATGTCAGCATGGCACAGTTCAGATGCTGCCCAGACCCCCTTGGGTTCAGGCATGTGTGTGGTCCTCTTGATCCAACTGTGTAGCTGAGCAAGCTCAGTTTCTAGCCACCACTCTTGCTAGGGATGTTTCTTGCAGACAATACCAGTGTGTGTTTAAATCTGTGCACAAACCCTCTTCTAGAGGGTTGTTGGGAAGGGTGCCTCAGTGCTCAGTGTGACTGCCACGTGGCCTCCCAGTGAAATAATTAACAAGCTCATGGTTTGGGCAGGCAATAACTAATAGTAAATACTGACCCTTTGTTGGTCATTGTGCTGAGCCATCAATAGTAAATGCACATTTACAGTGCAGCTGTAGGGAGAGCAAGACTGCCTTGAGTGTTCCTGTCTGTCAGCTCTTGGGGCCGTTGGTGAGTTGGCATGACTCTTGTCTGGCATGGGGGTCTGCTTCACACTGTGCTTGCCCAGGGTGCGAGCAAGGCTGCAGGAGAGCCAGCAGCAGGGAATTAAAGTCTGGGGGCCACACTTGGGCTTGTGTCTTATCTAAGAGTCCTCCATGTGTGGCTGGGGCCTGGAGGCCCTATTAGGAGACAAGGGGGGGGTCTGTGGAGACCCCCAGGAGTTGGTTTGTAACTGTTAAACATAATTTGCCCCTTTGCTATCTGTGTATTCTGCCTAGCCAGGGCCAGCATCCCCTGCCAAGCAGCTACTGGTGGCTGGCTCATGGGTGCAGCTGGCACTGGTGGAGTCTCCTCTCCCTGCGGCTCCCCAGGCAGATGATACCTGTCCAGGGCCATGACGGGCAGGTGGGGATGACTATTCTCTTTGTGTTAGTGTCCCGTGTCCTGTTACAGCGCCAAAGCTGTTCTTGGGTTACAGGGGGTGTGCAGTGTCAAGTGATGTACCTCACAGGCTCTGCTGTTCAGCACCATGTTCCTCCAGCCTAACTCTTCCTCCAAAATCCCTTTTCCAGCCCCGTACCCTGACAAGTTTTGTTTATTTTCCCAGAAATTAGTGTATAAAGGATGGGGTAGGCAGGTTGAAGCCTGCTGGCTGGGTCTCACAGGTTTGGATGTGAGATGAGCACTGCTTCCTGCCAGGCTGGTGTCTCACATTTCTGCAGTGCCCCTCCATGTCCCACCCCTCTGCTCTGTGGCCCTGCTGGGGGCGCAGCCTGGTTTGGGATCTGCTGGGCACTTCTGTGCCCCAGCACTTGAAGTGAGAGGCAAAGACTCCGGAGGAGTTGGCCAGAGGTGCTGGAAGGTGGCTGAGCACCACAGGGACAGACATGGTAGCCAAACAGAAATGGGCTGCTCTGAGTATTGCTGCAGAGGTGTTTCCTTCCTAAAGCTCCATGAGAAATCCAGCTTCTGATGGTTACACTGCTTAACCCATCAGGAGAGGCAGCGCTGTCTGATCCACCATGAAAGCCGTTAGATGAACGCCTGGAGGAGTCCACCTGGGTGTCACCACAGAAAGAGGTGGCAGAGCCTGCTGTGGGAAGTGCTATGCAGAAACACTGCCAGCCCTTCCCTCGGCTTCTGCCACAGCCACGCTGGTTTCCCCCCCACAGGCTTTCATCTAGGTTCAGAACAGATGCTAGTAAGCAGAGAAGCAGCTTTATTTATTTATGGTATGCATTAACATTTATTCAGCTGGTTGCTGTGCATTGAGTAAGGTGGCAACTTGATAGGTGCCAGCCATTCCCCTGCTGCCAGCAGAGCCGGGGCTTGCTATGTGCAGGCAGCCACAGACACTTCCAGAATGTGGAGCTGAGCAAATGTGATGCAGTTTTGATAAGGGGGGAGGAGAGGGTGAGTATCCTGCTCCAGTGACAGCCAGGGAACTCCACCAAGGACAGCTGAGCACCTAGAAAGTGTATCCAACTCTGATCAATTCTGGTAGGGGTAGAGCTGGGGTGGGGGGGAAGATATATCAGGGCTTTAAGCAATTTTCTTTGCAGAATTTCCTGGAGACTTTGCTTATCTCTCTGCATCCCTCTGCTCACCACTGTGAAGAAAACACAGTGGTGTGCCATGTACTTGATGATGAAGGCAGTTACAGCAGGCCAGGGGTGACACCAGAGCAGCCACCCTCCCCACCCATCACCCAGCCATGAGGCTGTGTCCTGTGCAGACCTATGTGGCCCTGGAAGTTTCACACTCTGTTCTTGAACCCCTCAGAGCAGATCCCCCACCTCTGTCATCCAGTTGGCTTTCTATGTGCAGCCCCAAGCTGCTGCTTCAGCCTCACCATGATGCTTTTAAATATCACTTGCCAGGGCCTCACTTGAGGTGGCTTTAATACTGCCAGTAAGTCCCTGTTGGTACTGGGGCGACATCTTGGCCCTCTGATTGCAGTTGTGTCCCTGCAGTTGGCACTCCTGTCACGTTAGGCCAGTAATGAAGCTCAGGCTGGTTTAGTGTTTAGAGCCCAAGTGCCTTGAGCTAATGGTTCAGTACACGCCCTCCTTCCTCCCATACTTGCTTGGTGGTGAGAGGTACTCTACTGTAGAAAAAACACCTCAGGAAAGCTAAACCTTAAGCCTGGTTCATCTAGGAATAATATTTAGACATCTGTGTGCATTGAGCATCCCTGTGCATTGCCCAGTGAGCTTTAAATGCAGCAGATGTTTGTGTGCTGTGAATTTGGGAGTTGTTGCACTCATTTCTTTGGAGGCCTAGCAGCATATGCAGGCTGAGGGTCCAGCCTGATTACATGGAGAAAAATGGAAATGTGAAAAGTCTTGTAAGCTTCAAATGTCTCTTAGCAGCATTGTAATCACATAATCAAGGCCAGCTCAGCTTGATGTGCTTTGTTTCATTATGAAGCATAATTCTCCCTGGAATTTTAGTTCTTGCCTGCCCTCCACCCCCAAATGTGCCCGCTCACAGCAGAAATTAATGTTGGAGGAGGGAGGATCCAAGTGCGAATGGGACCCAGGCATTTAAATATTGGTTTGACACACGCTGAGTGTCCTTTGATAAAGGCGTGCTGAATTAGCGGGGCGGGTTTCAAGTTCTGCCAAGCAAAAACCCTATGGATGTGCTCGTGCCATGCAGGGCTGAGGCAGCCAACAGCCACAGGCTTAGGCAGTCAGTGACTCCAGACCTCATACTGTGCTCCACAGGTGGCAGGGAAATAACAGGCAGCTGAATAACTCCTCCTGAGGATTTGGCCCATGGACTTATGGTTCTCTTTTAAAGTTTGCTGGAATTTGGTCAGAGAGGTCCCATCCCTAGTGAAATTTGCTTTTGGGGTGTGTCCATGCAAGAAAAATTTAAAAGATGTAACTAAGTGTTGAAAATGAGAAACTGTGTGTTCTAAGGGCAGTCTGTCAGCCTTCCCCTTTGGTAGCTTCTGCAGCAGAGGCTGTGGGGTGGTCCCTGCTAGTGAGGCTGAGGCACCAACCCAGCCCTGCTCTCACAACTGGATCCCACGCTGGAACCCCAACAATTGGGAGTCCTGGGCTGCCTCTACCCATGGGTGCTAACCTGCACATGTGCCATGTTTCCAACACGGCTGTCAGCTCTCGATTTCATTTTTACGTGTCTCTGTAGGGTTCTTTATTTATCTTGCAGCTATGGTCTTTCTGTTCCTGATCAGATCTGCAGGAGCTTTCAGTGCACAGCAAAAGAAATGATGCCATTGGAGGTAGGAGGAGCTTGTCTGAACTAGCAGTCCTGTGTGCAGAGTGGAGCGGCACCCAAACATTTCCACGTCTCATCCTCCTACTTCTTCCTAGGCTTATCACATGTCCTTTCATCTCCAGACAAGTGACTGACACCATTCAACCCCCTACTTTGGCACCTGCCCTTTATGCAGCATCCAGGCCACAAATAGCCCTGGCCAGTAACACCAAATTTCTGTTCTACCTTTATTCCCATGTTTCACTTTTTTGCAGCTAACAGAAGTTAACAATGACTTTGTTTAGCACTCCATCCACCAAGTACACCAGCATCCACTTCTTCCCAGGCAAGATAGGTCACTTGTGTGACACCACTCCAGGCCACTCCACACTGATAAACCTCCAGCCAAAACCATTCAGCAACCAAAGCCACTTCCCAGGACAAATAAGCCACCTTCACCTCATAGCTGCAAGGGGAGATTTCTGATCAAAGCTCTCCAATAAGGAGCACACCCACCCTGTTTGTACCCAATGAAAGCATCAACTGGGCTAATCTGCTACTCAGGTGGGAGACTCTGCAGTCTTGGACTCCCTGAAAGCTGCTATTGTTCCCCCAGGCAAAACCCCATCTTATCCATAGAGTGATTGAGGCAGGTGACTTCTCACACAACTTTCTGCTTGTTCTGCCTACCCCATGGGCCAAGTTTTCACCTGGGATATATTAAGAGAGCTACTAAGTTCAGGAATAACTGTTATTGATACCTAAATGTTCTCCACGGCTCTTCAACCAGTGACTCACTGGCTCCTCTGGAGCTGGGGTGGTTATAAACAAGCTGCATGTCAGACTCTGTGCAAGCACCCATCCTACCCATTGCCTCTACTTTCAAAGAGCCAAAGGGCACTGGAGTTTTCATGCTTCACTGCATAGTTAAAAGAGAATAATCATTAACCTGCTGAGGACAGTCTTTCTTTTGTTAGGCTCTTTATCAGGTTATCTTGCTAGCATAACAGGAGAGGATCTGGGTGACGAGTGGGGGTGAGGTTCTTGCGAAGCTTATTCTCACAAAATCACAGCTGTCCCCAGCATAGGAGGTGGTGGCACAGAGGTGAGGGGCATTTTGCTGCCATGTCAGGCCAGCCTGTTGTGTAGGGAAATCTGGATTCATGTGGCTTTGAGCTTTGGCCTCAAACTCCCCAACATCCGCTTCCAGATCTTCAGAGGTGTTTTTGCTATAGGAAACCTTAAATGTGTTTATGGGTATGACTTACCATACAGGTCCTTTGCGCTCAGTTTAGAGGCTCCATCTGCTCTGCCCATGCTGCCACTGTAAAAGAAAGTAAGTACAAATCAACCAGCAGCTCCTGGATATTTTTAAACATCTGCTTTTATACTGCAGCTGTCCCAAGAGGGTCCAGTCCTGCCTTCCTCATCACGTCCATCCGATGTGGTGCGACTCTGAATTACCAGGCAAAGCATTTGCTTGTCTGACCATGCCGGCAGCTCCTCTGCAACCCTAGCTGTTATCCACACCACAGACATATGTCACTAAACCCAGCAGCTGGAAACAGGAGACAGGAGCCCATCAAGGCCTGTCCCCACTAGAGTTACCTTCATACACAGTGTCCCCTGGCAGGACGTCGCTTCTGGAGGGGTTGGACAGCAGCTCCCAGTGAGCAGTAAGGGGGTTGTCACTGGGAGCAGTGCAGGTAAACAGAGACCCCTTCATGGGATACCTGAGGCAGTGTCAGTGCCAAGATTAAGATCTGTTAATAATGGACCCTTTTTGAGATCATACAATCATAAAATAGTTGGGGTTGAAAAGGACCTTTTAAAAGTCTAGTCCAACCCTGCCCTGCAATGATCAGGGACATCTTCAACTAGATCAGGTTGCTCAGAGCCCTTGAAGGCAGGTGCTCAGATGTAGAACATGTCCCATGTAAAAATGTGGAAGGACATAATTGTGTGTAAACATTTGAGTTTTGGGGTGTTGGGTCTCTAAGCATGGGTTACATCCCCTGTAGGGCTGCTCCCCTGCCCCATGCCTGGGTTGTATGGAGGAGCGTGCCGCCAGGAGATAACGGTTTCTCCACTCAGGCCTGGCAGGGGAGGATCAAGGTGGGACCTAGGGTTTTCAGGTTCTGTGGTCAGGCTGCCCTGCACGGTGCAGTGAGTCAGTGGGTGGCCACTGGCTACTTTCTGCTCTGTCCCCACGGTCCCGAGGGCAGGCACTGGTTCACAGTGCTCATACACCTACACCCTGCTCTCCAGAAACCAGGAGCGTGCAGGAAGGAGAGGGCTGGTGGCTCTGGCTCCATCGGGAAGCTGCCACGGGCTGCCATAGCCCCTAGGCCATAAGTGGAGAGGCTCCTGGTATCCCCCTCCTCTCTCCACACCTAATGTGGCATTACTAGGGCATGTGAGCTGTGAGGCAGTGATGCTGGCTATAGCCATAGCTTGTGAGGTTCCCAGCAAGGGTGAAACAAACACCAGAAACTTGGGAGGCAAGTGGGACTGCTAGGAGCATCCCCCCGGCTGGTAGGAGGGAGCAGTGGTGCCAGCCACAAGAGAGGGATGCCCACCACGAAGATCCTTACTTTGATGAGCCAGGATTGCTGCTGAGGGATCCCTTGAGACTCATGTCGCTTCACAGGACAGGCAACTGCAGAAGAGACAGGGTTAGTGATTAGAAAACATGCTCTCAAATGGTTTATCTGTGTGCGTGCTGCCCTCCCTGCCTCTGATCTGGGGTCTCCAAGCAGCAGCGTGGGCAGATGAGAGCAGTCAGGATGGGGTTTCCTTGCTGCTCTCTGCCCTGTGGCTCAGACACCCCTCACAGCTCTGACCTGGGCTGAAGATGACACATCCCTAGATACCTTTCCGAACCTGATTTCCACCTCTCCCCTCTTGCCCATCCCTTCTAGGCACACCCTAACTTGTGGTATTTCAGCATGTCCTTTTCTAGCAAAGCAGCCCTGCCTACAGTTTAGCAGGGACTGATGTGGCCTTTGTCTTTATGGTCTGTCAGAGGCCATTAGCAAACATACTGTGGCCATGTGCTGATGACTGTCAGTGTCCTGAGTCATTTTTCATGCCTAAAGTGCCATTATGTGGCAATTTTAAGCTCTATACCCGCTGTTAAAGTATCCTTACCAGGGTATTGCCCACACAGAGAAAAGTAAAATAATTGTGAATGCAGAGTAAGGATGGAGAAAAATTTACTGTGATGGCTGAGTGCTTGGTGAGAGGCAGACAGGCTCAGTTCATAGATTTTATTAATTTTTTTTTTTTACCTCCTCTTTCAAATGAGTATTGTAAATAATGTGAGAGAATATGAGAGAGAGATCCAGGCACTGCTCTGGGAGGAGAACTGCAAGGGGGTGGGGGAAAGGGTAAAACAAGGTATAATAAAACCTCAGAGGATGTTTTGTATTGGCATCTAAGATATTCACCTCAGCTCCAGTGCACAAGTTGGAGGAAAACCAAGACACAATCTTCAAGTTTGGGTTTTTTTTTTAATTCAATTTTGAAAAGCTCCAGGGGCACCTGCCTGTCGCTGGGCACTCAGCAGCTCTTTTTTGCTTCGCCTGGGTTGGACCCTGCTCACTTCATTATAAGGTTGTCAGAATTCAAAAGTATGGCCTTAAAATACTTGTCACTGGCCTGAAGGAAGAAACTCATCGGTGTCTTCAGTGGGATTTCCTGCGAGGGGACCTTTGAACGTGCTTGGCATGTGCCATGAGGTCACCATGACAGCCATCCCTGGCAGGCAGTGGAGTTGCTTCACAAAGGTTTTTTAAGCTAAAGTGTGCATAATCCCCAGGGAATACTTAGAAATCATCCCTGGCACCTGGGATTTACCCTCTGGAGGCTGACTATCTCTGCCGCCGGGCTGCTTGTATTGTCAGCAGAGCTGCCCCCAGATTCCTTATGTATCCGTTTTTATTCCTCGTGCTGGACACACTCATTCGTGGTATTTTGCTCTGTGTGTTTCACCCTCAGGTGAGGGCAGATACAGAGATTTTTCTCACTGATTTTAACAAAACTGCAGGCCTGTTGGAGGGATATATTTTGTGGAGATCCAGCTCTCCAGGCGAAGCCCACGGTGTGGGTGTATGCCTCATGTTGCACCCCGCTAGCAGCGCTGTCCACCCACTCAGGCGTTGTACACACAGCCCGGATGGAGGAACCTCGGCATGGTTTGGGCTCAGCCTTGTGGTTTTCAGCCTGCTTTCTGTCACAGTAATACTCTTCAGCACTGAAACACTGTTAGAAATTACTTTGAAGTGCATTTTGTAGCTAGTACGTTAAATTCTCCCTTTTTTGTCTCTCTCGTGGCTGATACTAAAGTCCATGCAGACACACACACACACACGCATATATAAATTCATATACACGGTAGAATAGAAACTTGGTGTTCTGCCAACTCCTCTAAGTGTAATGAAACCTGTCCCTGTGCCCAAGTTTGGGTACCTGTGAATTTTTCCTCTGTTAATAGCTGTCTGCTGGTTTCCTTTTACAGTCCTCAAACGGTTCCTATCTCCCAGATCTCTGTGCGCATTAGCATAAGATACCTAGAAGAGGGAACGTGCTCTAATAAACCCAGCTCTGGTCTGTTTACTTTATACCATCCAATCATTTTCGTCCTGTGGCTGATGATCATAGCTGGGAATGTTTCTGCATATTAGTGTAATATTTCTGGCTCCCTTTCTCTTAGTGCCCCAGGGCCATGTCCTTAATGGACTGAAATCCAGGTTACTTCAGCGGGTAAGTGGCACCGAGTTTGCCTGTGGAGTTCAGAGCTTGCTCCCAGGCTCCAGCTGTGAAACAGCAGGAGGAACCAGGGATGCAGCCAAGGTCACCCTAGTGTTTGTTTCTCCTTCATGAGCTCTGTCCAAAAGACAAACTATGGGGATCTGCTGCTGCTTTTGGAGGAACTCATCTGGCCAAACCCTATGTGGCTGCCAGAGGAGCAGACCCCTGTGGCAGAGGTTGGCCCTCAGCTTTGAGGGTGAAGCGGGACCAGCCATAAAATGAACTAACTCTTTATCTCATGGTAGCTAATAGAAAGCACTGCTGGGATAAGCTCTGCTCACCAGAAGAAGGCAGGATAAGCTACTGTGCACCTCAGCTAGTGGAAACGCCACCGGACCCCGCAGGTGTCAGAAGGACTTGCCAATGTGCTGCGGTGGGAACACCCAGCACCCATGAAACAGCAGGAAGGGTTTGTGCCGCTTTCAGTCCTGTTTTTATACCCTGACAGTCCAAAAGTCTTCCGCCCAGCCAAGCAGAAGCCATAATGCATTAGCATCACTGACATTTCAGCAAGGGGCTGTTTATAAATTGCTCCTTCTGACATGTCTAATCGAGTGATCCCTCGTCTGTGTCGGTGGTTGTAACGCAATAAACCCCAGTGTCCCCCTGCCCTTCGCCCAGCACCACTGGAAAGTTTTCCTCCCTTCCAGGGCGTCTGTATCCAAAACAGGGTGTGAAACTGGAAGCAATGCAAGCACCTGCCAAGTCAGCAGATCTTACCCTGCTGGGCTCCCTTCTTTTTATTTAATCATGCTGTTTTCATTATTTAACCTTTGCCTGGTTCTTACCACTGCTTTAAGGGCCATGTCTGTGCTCAAATTTGTGTTAATCGAAAGGAGGGTGTGGTGTGATACTGGCTAAGTTAAACCAGGACAGAGCCTTGTGCCAGAGCTTTTAATTCAGTTTAAATTGCTTGATATTAATTGAATCCTAGCTGGCAGGCTGTGGGGAGCGGGGGCACTTTTCTGAGAGGTTGGGAGATTTTATAATGATTTTGCTAAATCAAGAGATAACTGGACTTGAATAAGATGAAGCAAGGGCTGAGAATACATCACCTCGAAATGCGGATGGGGCCAGAGATAAGATGTGAGAGGTGAAAGGGGGTTATGGCCAGGCAGCTGGTTTCCCCCTCCCCGTGGGGGCATCCCTAAGCTCTGACAGTCTGCAAGCTCTGATACACACATTGTCTTCTCCCTGTTGTCATTTTAGCTGTGGTTCAGGCTTCCATAATTAGAGCGTTCCTGATCTCCCTCTTATCTCCCTGCAGGGTGCGGCTGCTTTCTCCTCCTTCCCCGGCCAGGTGAGCACGCATAGGAAGGGAAGCCAGAGGCAAATTTAGCCCTGCGATGCGTAGCTGCGCAGGGCTTGCCTTTGACTCAGCCTTATCAAATCCCGTTTTGAGACCATGCACCCACTCTTTCCATGGTGCAGAGCAGTGTTTCTCCATGGGTGACCAAAAAAGCCAGTTAAGCCCTGCATGCGAACACAGTGTTTAAGGGGATTTGGGCTCCAGCAGCTAAGACAGGCTCAAATTCTGGCTGTGGGGATGGGTGGTAGCACTACGCTTCTGCTGGGGCGGCTTACAGGGGAAGCTTAACTGCCTTGCTAAAGCCTGGTACCATGACCTGTCCCAGGCCAGGAGATTTCATGTGATATGACAGCCCCAGGGAGGCCAGCAGAAGTCAAGATGAGGGGACACTGAGGTGGGTGAAGTCTACAGTACGACTTTAAAGCAAAGGAAGTCTCACTCCCTGACTTTCCGGATAGTCTTATCCTTGGAAGTCAAATATCCTCCTGAAGACACACAGAGTTGTGATAGGAGCCTGGCATTGTTGTCTGTGCCACATTTCTGTACTTTTAGAGCAAATGGAAGCAGGCCATGCATTGTTTTCACTTTCTTTGAGTCTCTTTGAAGAGGGAGCTGCAACACTGCAAGGGTGGAGAAGCTCTGTGGGAAGGGAAAGAATAACAGCTCTCTGTGGGCTAGTTGCTACTACTGTCATGCATTATTTTTATTAGGAATGCTTCTCCCTTGTCTGTTGTGGTGATACATGGTTTTTTTCTAACAAGCAAACAGAAAGGGATTGTGAAAAATTCTGGACTTCGGGTGAAAATTGGACAACTTGAAATATTACTGTCTTTCTTAGGGCTATTATGATTATAATCACTGTTAATAACAAAAGCAGCATCTAGTGTTTGTGAGTGTTTTTCATCATGAGTCTAAGAGTACCTTTAAGATCTTGTGCGATCAGATAGAGCAAGCTGGAGAAGGTTTGTTGGTATCAGAGGCTGTTAGAATATATGATTGTAGCGGTGGAGAATGCTGGGCAAAACACAACAGGTTTTGCTGGAACAACAGTAGAAAAATATGGCAAAACCCTCAAAACCTTAAAAACTGACAAGCTACCTAGGAGCAAGCTTTTCCCTAGCATGCTCTAACCCATTTCTAACAGACCTTGTCTTTGTTTCCATCAGTCATCCCACTGAAATCTGCCCAGTGTGACAGGATTTCTGAAATGCCAACAAGCTGGTATTGAAACATGTTTTCCTACCTGGCGCCATGGTACTGATACTGATGGTTTAACCGATGTGTCAAAAAATGAGTTAAATAAGGTTTGATGTAGCCTAAAATGTTTCTTGACTGAGTTGGACCACCTAGAATGATGCCAACATGCAAATTGGCCCCTTATGCCCTGTCAAGTCAGCCCAAAGGGGGTGGTAGGGAATGGCTTCACTGCAGCACATGTAAATGATCAAGGACGTGGTGAGGGAAATCTCTGCACCAACTAGATTAAGGGGCTCGGGCGCTGGTGAAATATATGTGATGGAAACGCTGCCTGGGGGCGG